ATTTTTTTTTCTTCAGAGCTAAGGACCGAACCCAGGGCCTTGCGCTTGCTAGGCAAGCACTCTACCACTGAGCTAAATCCCTGGTGATGATAATTTCTATACACAGCTTGTAAGATGTGGGATACCTTGATGCTGCTTCTCTGTCAGATGTGTCCCGCATTTTACCTTTTATGTTCATGTTAGAATACTGATCCATTCTGTTTGGGTTGGCTGTGTGTTAGAGGATTTAAACACAGAATCCTTCAATTTTCAGTTGAAAATATTGACTTCTGTTTGTGGGGAACTCCATGGGGCGTGTGTGGAGTTCAGAGGACAACTTTGTGGACTCTTTTCTCTCCTTCCACCTTTATGTGACTGAACTCAGGCTAGCTGGCCTGCATGGTAAGTGCTTACCTGCTGCGCTGTCACCGCGGTCTTTGAGGGGGGGTCTGCAGTAGCCTAGGCTGGTCTCCAACTTGACCTCTAGCTTCATCTTCTGTAGTGCTGAGGTTATCGGTGTGTACAAATAAGTTGGTTAGCTGGTTTTCTTCTCCTTTTTGAGACATGGTCTTAGGTTGATGACCTTGAACGTCTGATTTTCCTGCCTCCCTCTCCTAAGTGCTGAGGTCACAGATGTGCAACATCACATCTGGTATGTGCAGTACATTTCTTGATTATGTGGCCCTTTTTGGTAGTATTAAAGTGCCTTCTGGTGAGTTCATGGGTGGTTTTGCTTTTTATTTTTGATTCTCTACTTTTTGGTTTTTATTTTTCTGTTTAGCAATTCTCTAGCCTTCATTTTTTTAAAGATTTATTTATTTATTATGTATACAGTATTCTGCCTGCATATTTTGCCTGCAGGCTAGAAGAGGGTATCAGATCTCATTATAGATGGTTGTGAGCCACCATATGGTTGCTGGGAATTGAACTCAGGACCTTTGGAAGAACAGCCAAGTGCTCTTAACCGCTGAGCCATCTCTCCAGCCCTAAGAGATGAGAGACTTTTTTTTGTTTTGTTTTTTTGATTTTTTGAGACAGGGTTTCTCTGGGTAGTTTTGGTGCCTGTCCTGGAGCTCGCTCTGTAGACCTGACTGGCTTTGAACTCACAGATCTGCCTGGCTCTGCCTCCCAAAAGCTTGAAGAGGGCTTTAGTACAATGTAGTGGCGCTCTCTCTCTCTCTCTCTCTCTCTCTCTCTCTCTCTCTCTCTCTCTCTCT